CCAACACGCCCCCAGACTTGTGAGTCCTTCATAAGCCCAAGCCCAGAGCAGGCCGGGTAGAGATAGAGACCCTGGCCGGAGTTGGCCGGGTACAAATAGAAACCCAGGCAGGAGTTGGCCTGACTCTGATACCATGTAAGATTAAGAATCAAGGCAAGAGGGTACGATCCCACGCATAATAAGCGCACCATAAGAAGGTGAGTCTAGGTGCACCATAGTGAGGTTCCATCCCAAAACCAATTGGTGATGAGAGGAGTAGCCCACTTGGCTTATATAGTAGGCTCATTTTCCCTATAGAATCAATGTGGGGCAACTCATAAGTGATACTCCAACAATAATACGAGTGTAACATAATTTGTTATTCAATAATAATATAATTTATGAAATTACAAAATCGTTGTACAAACACTTTACATAAAAATAAATATATATGTCATATGTACTTATATAAAAAGGCATCTCATTTACTAGAATTAGTAAGAAGAAAAGTCAAAGGTAATTAACGCATTCTATATTTATCTTCTAAATTGCATGTATTAAAAGTCAAAAATAATTAATTGCATGTATAATACATCCCACGAGTACAGATTCCCCACATGCAACCATTATGAATTAAGTATATTTTGCATAATTAATGCCAAAAAGGAAAAAAAATTAGATTATACTATTAATTTTCAAATTTATTAATCCTCCTTATATATAAGCATAATTAGTTTATATTATTCTGAGTGAAATATAATAAAGTCATAAATAACTAAAGTAAATTTCCAAAAGAAAAGAATTGAGAGAGAAATTATGAGTGTGTATTAGTAATAGTGATATCATACAATTTAATAATACAATTTATTTTTTTAAAAATCATACAATTTTATTTTTTCTTTGGATATGCTTTTACATATATATATATATATATATATATATATATATATATATAATACTTTTTGTAATAAATTCAAATAAAATGTGTTACTTAAATATCTAAAAAATTTAAAAATTTAAATATTTTAACTAATTGATAAACAATTTATAAATCTCTATTTTATTTAAATATATAATTTTATTCAAAATAATTTTAAATGTAGCTAAATTTATTTAGAAAATCGTATCAATACTACCAGTTCAACTGACTGGTGTTAACGGATTCAATGACAAATATTTATTCAAGCGAACTAAACTGATTATAAACCGGTTCTCGGTTCATCCAGTCAGACTGTGTCAAACACGGTTTAATTTAAAAACGATGTGTAAATCTTGGTTAATTTATTTATAAATTTAATTTATAACACAACCGTAATATTGTTTTACCGTGCATCGCACGGACCACGCACTAGTATTTTATATAACTTGTTTTAATTCAAAATATAATTATAAGTAAAATTCCCCTTCAATAAGCACACTTGGTCACGTACTACTATACCCTACCACAATACGTTAGCCCATCAATTCATTAAATTAGTCGGTCTATAATATATAGACTAGTATTAATATTCATGTACAACATGGACGTTTAGTTAATCAAAATATATGTATAAAATTACTTATGTCTAATACCAAATTTAATTCTAAAATAAAAATAAGATAAAAACAATATTAAGAAGCATAGATTTTCCTCATGTCAACATTAAAAGTGTGAGAATTTGCCATCTAAATTCAACACGTTTTGAATTAATATATAGAAAGGGATTGTTATAATAGCACCAGAAAAAAAATAAAAATAAAAGAAAAAAAAAGTGAAGCAAAAATAATAAAATATGCATATTTCTCATCATCAATTCATTGGTCAAAAACAGACCAACCCAGACATGGCCACGGGCGGCCCGGCCCG